CCCCTCCCTTCCCCCACCACTCCTCAATGTAGTGGCCTTGGAGATCTCCGTTTGTTAATAAAGACCATTCAACCAGCTCCCACCATTTCAGGCCTTACGTTATTCTGTTTTCTCTCAGCATCCCAGGTACTAGCCAGGGCCCACCAGCATTGCTGGGATGAAGGGGGCAGGGTGGGGTGGAATCTGCAGTGAGTGAGCCTTGGTGGAGAGGGGGTGGATGGGCACTGCTGAGCCAATAAAACCTAGAGGAAACAACTGAGGGAGGGCAAGGGCATCCTCAGCCTTAAACCTGTGGGGCCCTGCATGGGGGCCATTTGGTTTCCACCCACTCCAGCCTGCCCAGGCCATGAAGGCGCCTGGCTCCAGCCTCTCTATATGCAAGTCCTGCATGGGGCGGGGTCGCTCCTGTTTGGCAACAAATGGATAAAGATCTTTTAGAGGCTCACAGGGCTAGAGGGTCACAGGGAGCTGGGACCCAAGAAAAACTGGGAGGTCGGGAAGAATGAATTGAGGATGGTTCTTGCCTTCTTTCTGGAGGGCTGACATGCAAGAGCCTTCCTGAACCATCTGCCAGCTCCGTCTGATGTCTGCCCGGTGGCCAGACCTAAACGTGTGCACATACGACTCTTGCGAAGCTGAATACAGATTTATCACTGGCAGTACGAAAGGATCGTGATAAAGCAATGGGAGCAACTTGTTTTTCAGACTTCCTCCTGGAGATGGGTGGGAACGCTTGTCACCGTGGCGGCAGGCTCACAGCTACATGCAGGGCGGGTAGGGCAGTTCGGGCACTTGGTTGAAGTAGGCCCCGAGGAAGATGAGGCTGGAGCCGACAAGGAAGAGCACCAGAGCGGCCCAGAAGCAGACGTTGTCAAGGGCCTTCCCCATACGCACCCAGTCGGACACCTCCTGGGGAAGGGGCGGGCAAAGCTGAGTCCCTAAAAGCAGCAGGAGCCTGGTGCACGAGGCAGGGAGAGCGGAGGTCCCCAGCAGCTCCCCACCCAGCCTCTCCGGCTCCTGCCCCACCTCGCCGGTGGCCTCCTGGTCTCGCGTGCTCTCGGCCACGAAGTTCACGGCATCCACACAGCAGCGGATCTCGGGGGCGGCAGCGCCCAGGGTCTGGCAGAGGGCAGCTGGGGGGAGCGACCCCGGGGGGTGGGGGGTGGGGGGTGATTAGGAACCTCTCCCGCTGCAGGTGCCCCCGTTGGCCGGCTCGGGCCACTGCTCACCAGTCCAGGTCTTGTGCCGGTGCCTCTGCCCCTCAAACATGAGCTCGCTCCGCGGCTTTTTCAGTATCAGCTCCTCCGCGCGGAGCAGTAGGCCCAAGGACGACGCCCGCCTTGGGGGCGAGGCGGCCCGGGAGACCTCGGGGGGTGCGCCCGAGCCCAGGAGTTGGGGCAGCAGCTCCAGTAAGACCTGGGGGGGTGGGGGGGGCGGGCGGTTAGCTCGAAGCCCCGCCTCCCGGCCGGAGCCCCCTCACCCGGTGCTTACGTGGCGCAGCCGCGGGGACATGGCGTGAGTGGTGGGCGTCCGACAAGACACGTTGAGCACGATGACGCAATTCATGACAATGAGCGTGGCAACCACCATGACGAAAATGAGGTACCTGAGGAGCCCGGAGTGCGTGACGTCGCAGCCTCCCCACTCCCCCTGAGCCACAGAGGGGGCCACTAGTCCTCTGACCTCACAAACGCACCTCTCCGCAAGGGGTGGAGTTACGCCCCTTAGCTGCTGCTCCTCTGCGGGGCCAGACGCGTCCCCGCCGCCCTTCTCCCCCCTCTCACCGCCGGTGGCAAGCATGAAGGGGACCCCCCGCTCCCTGGAAACCCTGCTGTGGGTCTGCCACTTCCACAGCTCCACGGAGGTGCGCCTACGCCGATACCCACCCTCCACCCCCAAGGGGGGCACCTTGAAACGCTCTGGGAAGGTTTCCAGCGTCCCCCCATTACCTCTGCCCTATGACCTGATTGACCCCACAGTCCCTGTGCTTTTCCAGGCGGCCTGGAGCCGCGAGAGCCAGAGAAGCCGCCTGCCCCGAAGCCCACCCAGGGGCTGGTGCTAAGAGAAGCCGCGGCCAGCGTAGTGAACTTCGGGGCCACCTTGTTAGAGGTGGGGTGCCGGGGTGCTGAGGAGGGGCGGGGAAGGGGGATCGAGCGGCAGGAGCAGGGATCTCTGCACCCCCGCCAACTCCTGCACCCCCGCTGCAGATCTCAGCCCTGTGAGTGCAGCAGGAAGTGCGGCGACTAGACGCCGGGTATCCGGGTGGAGCCCTGGCCCGGGTAGCCCAGGCCGCGGGGCAGGGGGCTCGGCCAGCGGGGTCTGCGGCAGGCGCGAGCGCCCGGCTTCTGCTCCAGGGGGCGCGGCTATGCCTGTGTGGACGACGTCTGCAGGGATCTGCCTCATTCCTGTAACAGTGGCGATGCCAGCTGGGCCTCGGCACCCCCGGGGAACCGGTGAGTTCAAGATGAGGGGAGAGGTGGGGGCCAGGGGCGGCGGGGCTGGGTGGGCACTAAGCCGGCCCGCCCCCAACAGAGATACTCGGGAGACCTCCAGGTGGCGTCCAGCAGCAGTACAGAGGACGGGGGACCGGAAAAGCCACCGCCATCCCAGCCCCACCCCGCATCCAAATAAAGCCCAGGCGGGGATGAGGCAGCTGAGGCGTCTCCCAGAGTCATTAGGTTTGGGCCCTGCCCTTCCCAACGAGCCCCTTGGCTCCACCCCATGCTCGCCTGGCTCCGCCCTTCACACTGGCCACGCCCCACGTAGGCACCACCGGGATCCACTCTGCCCCCACCTGCCCAGCAGCGGCACGCTCAGAGATGTCTCTGGGATTTTCTGGGCAATTAGGAACAAGAAGACGGTCTGGGCGAGCAGGACGTTGATGGAGACGGTGCATTTCTGGCCGCCGGCTGGAGGGAGTGCCTGATGAGAGCAGGCCCCGCCCCCCAGGAGGGAGCCCGGGTTTGGGGTCTGGGCGACTCCATACCCTGTGCCGGCAGGAAATAGGCGAGCAGCACTAGGCCCGAGATGAGCACGCAAGGCACGATGATGTTAATAACGTAGAAGAGCGGCTTCCGGCGAATGATGAGCGTGTAGATGACTTCAGTGTCCCCTGGACCATCATTAGAGCCACCGTCGTGGCGGCGGATCACCCCGGGGCAGAAGTCGATGGCCCACTCCCCGTTCTCTGCGGGACGGGAGGCGCGGTCAGCTGGCTCTCGGAGGTGGGGCGCGCTACTCTGCTCTCCATCCCCTCATCTGACCGCGGGGGGCCTGCAACTCCAGGCGAGGAGGATGCAAACCGTCTGGACAAGGGTGGGTGGGGCAGGTGGTCTGGATTGCTTGGGCTGGACAGAAAGGGGCATTCCCAGAGAGGTTAGGGAACCACCACAAGCGAGAAAGCTGGACTAGTCCGACGATCAAGAATGATTTCAGGAAAGGGTCAAGTTAAAGCAGGGCTGCCAAGTCAATCCCAGCATCGATGGCTTGGGGCAGCCCCACTCTGCAAGTCCCCTCTCTGGACCTGTCTAGAAGCGAGTTTTTTGGAGCAGGAGGGGGCCTCACCAGTATAGGCCTCGGTGTCGATATCTATGTTGCTGATGGTGTCGCCATCGTCGTCCACAGCAAAGACGAGCTCCACCTCTTCTGCACTGTACGTCTGGGAGCTGCGGAGCCGGGGCCCGGACCCCCCACCATAGAGGCTGGGACTCGGGCCTCAGCCTCAGGCCCCGCCCTGGAAGCAGGGCTCTGGCAGGGGAATTAAGCTCCACCCGGCAACCCAGGCCTCGCCCCCACACCTGGGTTTCTACACCTACTTCTAACCCGCTAGGGCGGCCTTACCCCATTCGAATGTCTAGCCCCACCTCCAGCCCCGGATTAGACGTCCCGCCGCCCC